TACGTGTTGTATAGTCAAGTTCCTGATGCATATAGCTTTTAGCTTCCAAAACTCCATTCTTTTGAGATTTTAATTTATTATGTTACCTTCTTTTCTTTTTTTATTATAGGGACCATTGTTTTGTGGTTTACTCCGCTTACTAACTTGAGGTTGTGGGTTCAAACCTGAGAGCTAATACTTTTGCAAGTATGTACCCAATCTACCATTCCCACACCTCTCCATCCAATGGGGGACTAAACTAGGCGTACATGTTGCATATTTTTTCTAAAAAGAAAAACACTAAAAACTGCCCCGCCGAATATCTGAATTATACAACAAATCAAAAAAGGTTTCTATGGATTGAAGTCCAGTCCTCTAAAGCCCCAATGTTATGATTTGGAGGATTTCAAATAATGAAGCTTTCTCAATCCGTTCATTTTTCAATGATTCGCACAGTGATGGAGATTCCTCTTTTCCTTGGAAATGCATTTGACAGAGTAAGGCTTTCTTAAGGTCACTTTCTTTGATTGGTCAGCTTCCTTTGAGGCCATCCTCACCATGAATAATCTTTGAAAGAGATGTAATGTTGGACTGGTGTTGCATGTGTAAGAAGGTGGGGGAACATGCAAACCAACTTCTCCATCAACGATTCATGGAATCTGATCTGTTCATTTTTGGTATGTGTGAATTATGCCTCATTCAGTGCGGGATCTTGTTGATGCAATCAGTGCTAATTGTCCTATTAAACCGAAAAGAAAGACTTGGAAGACCAAGACATCATGTGTTTTATAGACAACGTGGAGGGAGGATGACATGATATATTTTGATGGTGTTAAACTCCGGAAAATTATTCAATGCTCCTGGAGCATTGCTCCTTTCCATTTACAGGTTGGATACATCATCAGTTGTCTCCTATAACAACATAAAAGCGGTTGATCCCATAGTTTAGACCAATAATTACTATTTTGGAGCACCACCTAGTAATGCTCCAAGAGTATTGAATAATTTCCAGTTAAACTCCTTATTAGTAGCCTAAAAGGATCCGTCCTCCTGTCCCTGATTATTTTATTTAAGCATATAACATAAGTTTAACTTTTTGTATTAGGCTTTGCCCCCTTCATAGCGGTTATTGGTTAATATAATTTTTTACTTGTTAAGAACAAAAAGAAATAAAAAGTGTTCCATAACAAAAGCAGCTCCGGTTTTTTTTCTTTCTAGTAACTATGGGTGACCAAATAAAAAAAAAGGGTAAGGAAACCTCCTTGTTCAAGGCATTAGTGCAATACACTACCAAACTACAGATTCAATCTTAATAGATGCATACCCACTTAAATTGCCCATATAAAGAACTACAGAGCCAACATAGCCAATTTTATTAATAGTAAGACACGAACCACAAGAACACGACAGAAAAATTTAAAACTGAAAAAACCACCTGACAGGGGAAGCACTTCATAATGAGTCGCTGCACGTAATCGGCAACAGCATTTCGGCGATCTTCTGATGGTGAGTTGGGCTGAATGCAGGCAATAAGCTCTGCAGTCCTCTCCTCAGCTTTTAACCATCTCTCCGAGTCAAGGACCCGGATTGCTGGTCCGGCATTGGGCAATAGGCCATTCGGCAATAGGCCACTTGGCTGTGCCCAGCCCTCATGTTCGCCCATACAAGGCTATTGGATCACTAGCCTGGGCCCCTTCCTCTGAAACACAACCTACTCTTTGCACCCGAAACAAACCACCACTAAACAAAACAACAAAAACCAACAAAAATACTTGAAATTTTATTCCTAAACATACATGAAAACTTATAACTTTTGGGCAGATTATATTTTGATTGCCAACAAAAGAAACTTAACCCAACCCAACCCAACCCACTTGATTTTGACAGAAATACAATTTATAGCATTGCTTCAACGTTGCAAAATCCTGAAATTGGGTATTGATGAAATTTCACCCAAAAAAAACAAAATAGAACACTATATCAATACTCAAAAGTGGAACTTTTTTTCCCCCAAATAAACTGTTAGTACTAAATTTTAATATTGGAAATGTTTGAAAAAAATCGAAGATAAATTAATACAAAAAATATAAACCCTAGAAAGAATGTTGAAAACCCCAGAAGAGACGAGTTTGGGCAAAATCCCAATCACCAACGGTTGAGATTAAAAAAAAAAAAAACCTAACTGAAACTGCTGGGGAGTTTTCTGGGTGCTTCAATCTAGGGAACAGCGCAATGTCGACGAATCAGGAGTTGAGCAACAAGCAAAAAGCACGAATCAGATTGAAGCACACCAGGGATTGGTGAATTGGTACATGAAGAAGAGTAGAGAGAGAGAGAGAGATATGATCGTAGAATCAGATAGGGTATGTTTGCGTTGGGACTTGGGGGGCAGGAATTGGAGAACTGTATCAGATTTCAGGAGAGAGAGAAAGCGGTTGACGTTGGGGATTGTCCTCTGGTTTGGGCAAAGGGGAGAGAGAGAGAGAGAGAGAGAGAGGGGAGGGTTCAAATGTTGTTCCAAGGCAAATGTCAAATGCAATCTGGAAAATTTACTGAATTTTTATTTTAAAATTAAAAATTTATCCATCAAATTTTTTTATTATAATTTTTTTTTTTTGATAAATTCCTTCTGTTTTATAGTATGATTACCTAACATAATAATGCACGAACTTTGTTAATTTCAATTCGGAAATAATATTCACCTTCTTTAGGTTGGTACCATTTGAAGAATTGTTTTCAAAATGAATTTAAGCAGGCCCATAACTCACAGGATCATTCCTTTTAGTATCATAACACATCATGAATTCCCATTGAAGAGGCTTATTCTACTGCGACTCAAGTAGAATTCATAACATTCAAATTATACACCCATCGTAACATCTACAATCGATGTTCCAGCATAAATTTTTTTTACAATCTGCTAGTACTACAATATGTATTCCAGCATAAAAAGAAATTTACAATCTGCTATTATTATAATCTGTATACCAGCATAAAAAAAAAATTTACAAGCTGCAGCCACAATAAAGCTTATAAAATTAAAAAAAAAATCCTTTCTATCTTCAAAAAAAATAATAATTCCAATATATCCAATTTGATGCTATGTTATGTATTAAACACAAATAAAATAAAACACAATAAGATTGGTTTCTCCTTAAATAAACCTTGAATCCATATCCAATATGCATAATTTGATGCTCTATTATGTATCAAATACAAATAAAATAAAACACAATAGCAGTGGCTTTTCCTTAAATTATAGCGATCCCAATTTTTCCACTAGTGTTTATTGTATTCCGGACTTAGGTTCCGTCATGGTTGTTGTTGTCTTTATCTTGTTTCCGCCCTTTAAATTCTTTATATTTGAGTTTTGGGATGTGTTGGGCAGGGTTGAAACAGGTTGGATGTGATTTGAAGTAAATAATTGCTGCCCAGATTTTGGTTTCTTCGCTCGAGCGAGGCTTTTGTCGCTCGAGCGAACTTTGGGTTTTAGTTCCTTCGCTCGAGCCAGGGTTCCTTCGCTCGAGCGAGCTTTGAGTGGAGTGTCTCTTGGCTCGAGCGAGTACTCTTGCGCTCGAGCGTGCGTCTGCGTCTCTTTTTGACCTAAAGGTTGTGTTTCTTCGCTCGAGCGAGCGAGGACTATGTTTTGAGTTTCTTCGCTCGAGCGAGCACTCTTGCGCTCGAGTGTGCTTCTGGGTTACAGACCTGAAGCTTCGCATTGTTCGCTCGAGCGACGCTCACTCGTTCGCTCGAGCGACGCTCACTCATTCGCTCGAGCGAGCCTCGACTATATCAGTTGCCGCATCGTATTTCTACTTCACTTTTTCATCTACTTTTTCCTCAAAACCCTAGATCTGGCACACTCTCTCTCTACATACACCTTCTCTCTAGAAATACACTTAGTTCTTGGGTGTTTCTGCCCTAGTCTCTTTGAAGAAAAGGTAGAGCTTTGCTTGGGCTACACTTTGATCCGAAAAAAGGTTGGATTTGGAGCACTTTGAGTTTCTTTATTTTTCTCCTTTGAGCTCCGAAACTTGAGGTAGGGATAACCTACTCCTTTCTATGAGTTTTGACATAAACGTTGGGTATTTTGTATAAGATGATATTGTTTGGGAGTTTTGGGAAAGTTAGGGTTTGTTTTGAAATTATAAAAGAGAGGTTTTCAATTGTTAAGCTCCATGTATATGTGAGACCTTGGAAAATGGGATTATTGGTGTAAGATTGAGGAAATTGAGCCTTAGGGCTAAAGTTGAAAAGAAAATGAAAAAATGCCCTAATTAAATGTGATTAATTAATTTGGGGAAATATGGAAATATGAAATTGAGTTGAAAATCATGAAATTTGGAAGTTATGAGAATGAATGGTGTACTTAGATTGATTAATCACTCACCTATGAAAATGTTGATAATTTACCTGTTTGATATATTTATTTATCCTGTTTAGAAATAACTGCTTTGGGCTATCGGTAGAGGATAGTCGATTGTTGTAGACATTGTATGATGAATAGGTGAATTAAAACTAATCACCTGAGTTATGTCATCGAATATGACTGCTGAATTGACACATTGAATATGTGCCAGGATTGATCATTGTATATGATAAAGCGTTTAAATACATTGCATATGTATCTTGTCTGGGAGGAGATAGGGGATGTACTCCATGGTTCGAGAGGAGATAGGGGATGTAATCTCAAACCTGTTCAGGAGGAGATAGGGGATGGACTCCGCTGATAACTAAGTTGGCCAGAGTGTCCAGGGTGAAAGTCTCGAAACCTTAATTACGTTTGCATAACGTAAATGATTGAAGTATTGAAGTGTTAATAATATGAGTTGTAGTCTCATTTGAATTGATTATGATTGAAGTATTGATAATATGAGTTGTAGTCTCACTTTGAACTGTTCAGGTAAACATTGAACCTTATCTATGAATTGGTGTGGATAATGAAACGGAAAGGGATTAAAAAGTGGTTGTGAATATGAATTAGTTATGGAAGAGATGTACGTTGGTTTATATGAGTTAAATATTTATCAAATGCTAATGTTTTAATTAATTCTCATATTATGTTTAGTGTATCTCTACTGGGCTTTGGCTCACCCTATATGGGACATCATTTTCAGGTGCAGGTGATATGCCGCCTCCAAGGATGTAGCTTGGGAGGTTTAGAAGCTGAAGGCTTATTTTTGTATTGCATGTACTTCAAGCCAAGGGCTTAATATGTTAAGAGTTAGGACTCTCTTTTGTTGTAACCAAGTGTTGACTTGGAAAGTTGTAAGCCTGTGGGCTATTTACTTTTGTTGTCAACATGTGGTATTTTTTACTGAATACTCTGATAAATGAAAAGATGTTTTATTCTCTTATGTCTATGGATGTCATAAATGATTGGTTTATATGTATCTTTTTGAGGGCGTGACATAAATAAACCTTTAATCCATTTCACTTTAATTCTCAAAAAAAAAAAAACAAAAGGGCGGCTCGTTAGATAAATGTTTACCTTTCAATTTTGCAGGGGTGGTTCTGAATGGTTGAAAAAATCAAACAAACTATCATTACAAAAGACTGACTCAGCCACCATGGGACTGTGCTCTGCTAGATCAAATCCTAATCCCTGCCAAAAAAAAAAAAAAGGATATAAGGAAATACATTGGTATTAATATATGTAAAACAAAAATCTAGATTACAAACAAGTATATTACACACCTGAGAACTTTGTGGATTGTACGATGCTTGGGAAGACAAAGGCTTTGATAGTGGATAAGTTGGCGGGCATGCAAAATTAATATCGTGCATGAGTAGATTATATCTGAAATTCATTAGTTGTGGCCAATAGAGTATCTCAACACCCTAGTCCATAAAATATTGTTAGTAGTTTTATGATCATTATGTACTTAAGTAATATGATTTCAATAAAAAGAATAAGATCTCACCAGTGTGTGGTTTGAAGATGAATTCTGAATATTTCTTGTTTCGCTTGATTGTCCAATGCTCTAAAGAGGTTGTAAAACATTTATCAGTACATTGCAAAATTTAAAAATAAATCTAGTCAATTTGAAATCAAATACTTCGGTAAATTCAATACCTGAGTAAGGCGGGTAGGTTGTGAAACAACTTTTGTTCTCTTAATAGTCTTCTCATGCCAAGGTTTTAATTTGCTCCCACCCTTGTGTTCGCCCTCTTTCTTTTTTAAGCCCTTAGCTCGTGTAAAGTTTGAATCAACTACAAATTTTTTGGTACCCACTTCAATATTGCCTCCACTACCAGAAGCGCCTGAGCCGTCTAATGAAGTCATCATATTGTCTATCTTTGCACAGAGCTGCTAGTTTTACCATTCTAGGACAAAGATCTTTGTAGCGTGCTGCTATCACCAACTTAGGGTCATTCTCAACCACTGTAATTGTTTCTTCAATTGCACAATCATTCGCATCTAGTCTGTAATGACCCGGATTTTTTTTTTAAAAATAGCCAATACATAATTTAATTGAGCAAATTTTCGAATTTGATTGCTGTGTAAATTTTGTGCGAAAATAGTTCGGTTTTGTATTTTTTAAAAATAGTTCTCAATCTCAAAAAATTATGAAATTTTTATATATTATTCCCATATGAGTCTATCACGTTGGGTAAAAATTTTAGAATTTTTTGATGGGTATTTATTTTATGAAAATTTGTAGACTGATCGGTGTTCGGTCTAGTGTACAACAGAATTGAAATTCAGTTTTGGGTGTTTGGACCATGATTTGAGATAAATTAGTTGGGTTTATTTTGGTATATAATTGGACCATTTTTGACTTATGGGTGAGACCCATGATTTATATTCAATTTAATTTGAATTTGTTTATGACTCATGTTTAACTGTTTAGTCCTTTTTAATTATGTGATTAGTAGTAACCACCTTGAGAGTTGTTATTATTTATTATATAGGATTATAATAAATATTTGACAATTGATTTTATGATGTGTATCATATGGTGAAAAATTATATATTTTATAAAAAATGAAAATGTGTATATTTCATAGTGATCAAAATATTATATTTTGTGGTGAGAAAAATTATATCATTTTATAATTTATATTATAAAATTTTGAGGTATTATTACAAAAATTATATTTTTTTGGAAAAATCAAGTTTTGGGAAACAAACCCATGTGGGTGACCCTCATTTTTGTCATTGCCATCATTTCCTCTCCTTTCTCTTTTTCCTTATTCATTTCCTCTTTTCTTTTGCTGAGCGGAGGGCTTAGCTCTATCTCTCAACGTCTCTCTCTCTCCATTCTCACCTTTGTTGCTCAATCTTTGAGTTTAGAGTGAGAGTTTTTAAAGTAAGATTTTGCAAAAGTGTTGTAAATGAAAGTCGGAGAGCTCATCGTGATCTTCATAATGGTAGTCTCGAATTCATGATCGGACAAGATTTGCCTTCTAGATCTGCTCTTCTTTATTATTTGAGGTAGAGACTTTCTTTATGTTATTACATTAAAAATATGTTAAGGTTATTTTGAGAAAATATATATTTATAAGAGGCATTACACA